CCTGGGGATGGGCAGCTGACAGTGACCCGGGAGGGGACAGGGCCATGCCAGACCTGGGCTCCAGGGCTCAGACTCTGACCCCTCCAGGGAGACAGGAAGCCTGTGGGCGGGGGGAGCTGCAGAGGGAGACCCCGGCCTGAAGCCAGGCCCCTGCGGGACGTGGCCTCCGTGGAAGGACAGAACAGGACACCCAGTGCCCAGCACAGACGGGGGGTGGGGGCTGCCTCGGAGGCAGAGGCTGGACACTGGCCGCCACTGGTCAGGCAGTGTGGTGGTCAGGGCTTCCAGAGACAGAGCCATTGGGGGGACAGAGAGCGCGGCTGGACAGTAGACCAGAGGCGGTTGTTAGGGGACCTGCTCCTGCCATCACGGGCTCACAAGTCCCACGGGACGTCTGCAGGCTGGAGACCCTGGGCTGCCGGCCGCGAGGCTCAATCCATGCTGAAGGCCTCGGAACCAGGCGAGCCCACGGCGGGACTCTGTCCAGGTCCTGGGCCTGAGGACCTGGGGGCCGCTGGGGGCCTGGAGTCCGGAGCCGAGAGCCCGGGGTTCTGAGGTCCAAGGGCAGGAGCGGAGGAGCCGTCCCGGCCACCAGGCCACCCTGCAGATTGGGTGGCGCCCACACCGAGGTGGACCTTCTGCATGCAGCCTACAGACCCACGCTGCCCACTGACCCACGCCCTGTCTCCTCCGCAAACGCCACGGTCCCAGGCAAACCCAGGGAAAGGCTCCGGCTGCTGCCTGGCCACCCGTCACCCGGCCAAGCAGGTCCTGCAACAGCCATCGCCAGAGCCTCCCAGGACCGGAGAGCCGAGCGTCCTGAGTCAGAGGGCCGTGGGTCTCAGGCCTGGACTCTGGCCCCAGGACAGTCACCAGAGGCCCCCAGGCCCACGCCTGGCCCCCACTGCGGGGGCAGGTTTGCTGAAGGAATGATGAGGGTCGAGGGGACAGATGGGAAGGGGAGGGCACCTGAGCAGCTGGGGCGTCCACAGCCTCCAGCCTCCCTCCACCTACCTTCTAGGACCCCAGGGCTGGGCCGGGGACAGGGAGGGGTTCTGAGGGAGCGAGGGGTCCAGGGCAGAGGGGTCAGCACCCAGGGCATCCGTGTGGTCCCAGGAGCCTCCTACGGCCTGGACCCCAACCTGAACCTCTCCGGGCACAGCAGAGCCACATCCCACCCCGCCCCACCTGCCCCCCACAAGGGCCTCGGAGGAAGGGGCCCCTGCCGCTGACGGCCAAGCGGGAGAAGAGTGCGTGCTCCACACCCGATGTCGGGGCGGCCAGCCACACTGTCCCCGGGGCCGCAGGTCCCCTGGGCCCAGTATTCAAATCCACGCAGAAGCCGGGCCTGGACTATTTTTAGCCGTCGCGGAGGAAGCCAGCTGAGGCTGCCTGGGAGGGGCGGGCTTTATCTGGCGTGGGGACGGGGGTCACAGGCAGCCGCGTCTCAGGGCCAGCTCTCTTTTCCCCCCGCGGCTTTTATTGGCTTCTTTGAGGAAAGATAAACCGGGCTGCTCACTGGGGCCAACGTCCAGGCCGGAGGCCGCTGGACTCCTGTCCAGGATGCTCGGCCCCAGCCTGGCCTCGGGGCTGGCCGTTCCTCCCTCCTGTGATGGCTTCAAGTGCAGGGGAAGCCGGACCCTCTGATCCGCTGCCCGTGGCTGTGGCAACAGATGACCTCAGGCCCTGGCTTCCGACCAGAGAGGACTCTCATAGTCACGGAGGCCAGAAGCCAGCGGCCAGGGCCCGTGGGCCACGTCCCCCGGATGGCTCCAGAGAGCTCCCCCTGCCCCCCCGGCCGCGGTGGGTCCTTGGTGTCCTGGTTTGCTGCTGGATCCCGCCCACCTGTGCCTCGGTGTCACACGAGCTCTTCCCGCCTGTCTCTGTGTCTCTGTCCTTCTTAGGACCCGGTCGTTGGGTTGAGGCCCATCTTCCACGCCAGTACGGCTTCAGTGAAACTGGTGACACCTGCAAACACCCTGCTGCAGATCCGGTGGCCCTCGCAGGCACAGGCGCCAGGGCCTCCCTGCACATTGGGGGACACCATCCCACGCGCAGGGCCTGCCGCCTCACTGGACGGGGGAGGGGACAGCGCAGGCAGGTGCCAGGCCAGCGCCAGCCTGAGGTCCTCCTCCTCTTCAGGGGCAGCTGGTCCTTCCTCTGGGCTCGAGTCCTTCTGGTGTCCAAGTTCTTGTTCTCCCACTACTGTCCGTCCCTGCGGCTCCACCACCCCGCCTCACCCCGTCACAGCTTAAGACGACGAAAGGAGCCTGCTACCAGGGGCGGCGGCACACACCCTGGTCCCCGTTACCTAGGAACCTGAGGCCAGCCTGAGCCCCTGGGTGACAACCTGTCTTTAAGAAAAGGCTGGGGCTGTAGCTCGGTGACAGAGCCCAGCATGTGTGAGGCCCTGGGCTCCCCCCCAAAAAGTGGGCGATACTCTGGTTTCTCCCGAGGTTGTGTGATTATTTTGCCTTTTACTAAGAGCAGGTCAAGCACCTGGACACCCCATAGAAGGAGATACACAGACAGGAACCCACGCTGCTCACCCCACTACCAGGGAAACACAAACCACGAGGAGACGCCACCTCACAGCCACCAGAGTGGCCCAGATCACCACATGTGACAAGTGTGGAGCGGCAGGGACTCTCCTCCAGGCTGGTGAAGTCGCACACGAGGCAGCCGCTCCAGAAGACAGCTTGGCACCGGAGGTTTCTTGCAAAACTAAACCCACATTAACTGTGTGATCCAGAAATCCTGCTCCTTCATATTTATCCAAATTTCTGTCCACAGGGAAATCTGCACAGGCTGTTTATAGCAGCTTTATTCACTGCCTCTGCCAAAGATTGGAGGCAACCCAGGTGCCCCTCGGTAGGTGGATGGATGAACAAACTGTGGCCCATACAGATGGTGGAATATTACTCACCACTAAAAAGAACTAAGCTATCAAACATGAAAAGACACAGAGGATCTTCAAATGCAAAGTCGCCAGACTGAAGAGGCCGCCTGTGTGTGGCTCCAGCTTTGTGACATTCTGGAAAAGGCAGACCTGGAGGGGAGGCGGGGGTGGATGGGCAGGGCTCAGGGTCTTGGGGCAGGGAAGCTGCTCTATGGTGCTCTAATGGTGGCCACATGTCATTAAACTCTCGTCCACACCCCTGGGATGCGCCACACCAGAGTGACCCTGATGGAAACCGCGGGCTTCTGGGTGTCATGAGGTGGCCGTGGAGGTTCCTGGACTGTGATGAGTGTGCCACTCTGGTGACGTTGACGGAGGGGAGGCTGTGACGTGTGGGGAAGGGTGTGTGGGAATTCGATCCCATCCACCCACTTCTGCTGTGAACTTCACATTGCTCCAAAGAACAAAGCCCATTTGTTTGGGGTGGGGGGACCAGGGATTGAACTCAGGGGCACTCGACCCCTGAGCCCCATCCCCACCCCTATTTTGTATTTTATTAGAGACAAGTTCTCACTGAGTTGCTTAGCGCCTCACTATGTTGCTGAGGCTGGCTTGGAACTCACCATCCTCCTGCCTCAGCCTCCTGAGCTGCTGGGATTACAGGCATGCACCACCGCGCCCTGCCAAAGTCCATTTTAAAACCAGGCTGGGCTCCCAAGAGACCTGGGCCAGATTTCAGAGCTCCACCCCACTCCTGCTGGACAGGACCCTGGCCAGTGGTTGGTTCGGCTCTCCTGTCCACAGGCTCCACTGGGCAGAGCACAGCAGTGAGAGACAGAGGGGGACGGAGGCCAGCTGTCCTCTGCCTGTGTGCTCCAGGTGAGGCCCCCGCCCCTCAGGCCTCCATCTGCACAACGAGGGGACAGGAGGATTTCGGAGCCCCGGGCAGCTGGCTTTGATCTCTGTGGGCAGACCTGGCCGTGTCAGATCTCCACCTGCATCACATCCTAAATAGAAAAGAATGGCCACAGTCACTGTGGCCTGGGAACTCAATTAAAATAGGCAATGACTAGTGACCCACACGCTCCTGTTGGAAAACAGCTCCCGGCACCCACTGGGCGGACAGTGTTCCCAAGTGCCACCCCTGGCCCAACAGCAGCAGCAGCAGCAGACCTAGGAGTCTGTCAAAGATTCAAGCCCCCTCCCCGGCCCCCAGACCTGCTGAACCGGAGCGGGAGGCCCACAACAGGGTTCTAAGCCCAAAGCCAGGCGGCCCAGCAGGCCTAGAGCCGCTCTGTTAAGCTCGGTGCTGTTGACACTGTGAGCTGGGTCAGCCTTTGCGGCTGGCCATCCTGGGCACTGTAGGCTGCTGACCAGCGTCCTGGACGCTACCTATTATCTGCCAGTAGCATACCAGCCCCAAGTCATGACAATCAGAAGTGTCTCTGGGCAGTACTGCCCTCCAGGGCACAAAGCGGACCCCCATTGAGACTCCCTGGCAGGAAAGAGGCCCCGACATGGGGGTCTCAACAGAGGACCTCATGAAGCCTCGAGCCGGGCTGCGCCCTGGGTGCCGTGTGGCACCGCTCCTATGACTCACGTTCTGCTCATAGCGACTGTGAAATGGTCCCCATTTCCTCCCTTCTTACAAGCTGTGTGGCCTTGGGCAAGGTACTTAAACTCTCTGTGCCTCTGTTTTCTCGACGGTAAAATGGAGAAATGACCCCACAGGACAGTCAAGCACAAAAGTGACCACTCCTACATCAAACTCCCAGTCCGGTGCCATGAGTGACGTCAGCCTCCATAAACCATAGTCCTCTGGGATCGCCTGGCCTTTATCAGTGCCCGGCCTGCTGGAGCCCGCGAGGCCAGCTCAAGGTGGGCATGACAGGGCACTACTCTGCCTGTCAAGCAGGTGCAGTGACGAGGAGGGTCCCTGTGGTCACCGCGGGGAGGGGTACACCGGTCCCCGGTGCCAGCTTTGTAACCCAGGGTCCCGTGTGCTCCAAGGGACATAAGGCAGAGCCCCGGGCCCCGAGCCCCACCTCCCGATGAGCAAGCCGTGGAGGTCCCCGTAAAGGACGAGGAGTGGCACAATTCCTCTTTTGCATCTCACATCCCAATAAAATATTTATTATTTCAAGAAATAAATCTTTAAAAAAAGAGAGAGAGAGAGAAAAGAGTGTCTCTATTGCTTTCCCCCCACGGGTCAGGTCCTGGGGACATCGAGTTCTTCCCGCCGTCGTTTCTGCGGCCCCGGGGCCAGCCTGGCCAGGAGGGGCTCCCAGGACCGGTCACCTCCAGCCCTCCTCCAACTCTCAGGCCCCGGGGCTGCCTCCCTGGGCGGGCGGCCGGGTGGACAAGACCTCTCCCGGGCAAGGGGGTGGCAGTGATTCTGAAAGCCTGAATGTGGAATCAGACGGGGGACGGGCACCCTGGGGCGGGCAGGCATGCCACACCGATGGGCACGTGGCTCCATCTTGGTCTGAGGCTGGACGAAGCTGAAGGGGGACACGGATGCAGCACGGACGGGTGGGGGCCGCCGGGAGCTGGGGGCCCGGGCAGCGGGGACGGGCTGGGGGTGCCCGGGGTGGTGGGCAGCCCACCCCAAGCCCTGCCTGCAAAAGATGCTGAGGGTGTGGGAGCCAGCGTCTGGGGACCTGGAGGACACTCCCGGGACACCCGGAGGGGCCCCTGCAGGCCGAGTGGAAGCCTGCCCCTGGCCGGGCTGGACGGAGGCTGTGGGGCAGATCCGCCCATCTGGGGCTGCAGGTCATGCCACTGGATTCAGGCCGCGGGGAGGAGATCTGGGACAAGCAGGACGGGGACAAGCCGGCCAGGGTCTAGGTGGTCCCGCACCCAAGTGGAGAGGGAGGGGGCTCAGGAAATGGAGAAGGAACAGGGCGGGGCGGGGCCGAGCCGAGGAGGGCCCCCCAGCCTACCTCCCACAACCCTCCCCTCTGTCCACCCCCAAACAACCCCAGAGGGACCCGGCTGGCCCTGCGTGCTCGGCGGCCCTCACAGGAAGAGGGTACACCCCGCAGGTCTCTCCCAGCCCAGGCCTGGGCCAGGCTGCTGTCCACTCCTGGGCTCCCCCAGTGGACCCTGCTGCCCATGTCATAAATCAGGAGGCCCCACCCAGGGCCCAGGAATGGCCAGGCTCTTCCCCTGGTCCAGACCTTACCTTGCACAAAGCAAGGGGCCTCAGACCACCTGCTCCGGGGCCTCTGGGACCCTCCGACCAGCCCGATATCTACTTGGCCGTGAGTCCCGGGTGAGAGCGAGGACCCCCAGGTGAGTGCCCGGGGCCTGTCCTCCCCTGGACTGTGCTTGGCTCTCCCCGGGCCACTTCCAGGCTGGGAGGGAAGCCCCAGCCGGGGAGCCACAGGCAGGCGAGTGGCTGGAGCTGGGGTCTGCTGGTGCTTTCTCTGTCGGGAGGCGCAGGGCAGGGCCTCGGCCACCTCACAGGCAGCCCCGGCACAGGGCCACCTGGCCCTTGCGGAAGTCGCGGCAGGGGCAGAGCCGCTGGTACTTGGTGCTGGAGCCGGCGCAGCTGAAGAGCAGCGGCTCCTTCTGCAGGTAGCACTCCTGGCCGGGCTGCGCGAGGGCGGGGTACAGGTGGTGCATCTCCCACTCCGTGCTGTCACAGGGCACCTGCAGCCTGCGCGGGCGCCACAGCACGGTCACCACGGGGGCACTGCCCACCTCTCCACACCCCTGCCCCAGACTCGGGAACAGGCAGGTTCAGCTCCTTAACGGCCTCTGGGAGCCTGGGGGACAGGGGCCGGGGTCCCAGCTGGAGGGACGCCATGGCCGCCTGTGGAGAAGGTGCCCACCCAGCTGGGACGGGCCCCAGGGGCTGGGACACAGGGGGGCCTGGGAGGGAGCGTCCTGGTGGCGGCTGGGTCCACCAAGAGCACAGCCACAGACGCGGATGCCCCCCCCCCACCGGCAGGCCCCTGACGGACCGGAGGGCAGGCCCCCCGGGCGGGCGGCGGGCGGGCACTCACTGGAGGAAGGCCTCCTGGCTGTTGAGGAAGGGGAAGAAGGACGGCTCGCAGACCAGCCCGTGGTCCAGGCAGGCGTCCGTGCAGGCCCTCCCGGGGGCGGCCAGCCAGGCCCGCAGCGAGTGGGGCGGGGGCCAGGCCCCGGGGACCTCGCTGGCGTTCCGGGCCCACTCCAGGTGGGTGGCGTTGGGGGCCAGGACAAAGGGGCTGTGCGAGGTGCGGGTCCCCGGCGGGGCAGGGCTGGGCGCTGCACAGAAGTCCTGCAGGAGGAGAGCCGCGTCAGGGAGGCGGAGTGGGCCGCAGATGGCCTGGCCACCCAGGACCCAGCCTGCAGCTTCAGCAGGAGCCACGCTGGGCACTCCCTGGGGGCCCCGCCCGCCCGCACACGCCCAGGTCACCTGCTCCTCCAGTAGCCCCACCCGACACCCAGGCGCCCCCAGGGACTTTGCAGGAAGGCAAGGAGGCCGAGGTCAGGGACCTGCGCAGCTCCTACCTGCAGTGTCCGTGTGTCCCACAGAGCCCCCTGCCCCGCCCTGATGGCCTTGGGACGGGCAGGGAGTGGAGGGCCACCTACCTGGTGCTGGATGTAGGCCTGGATCCGCTCCAGCATGCCCTCGCAGGTGTACTCGTAGGGCAGGTAGGGCTCCACCTGTGGAGAGGCCTGTGGCTGGGCCCGGGGCTGGCACTGGGGGATCTGCTCTGCTCCCAGGCCCAGGGAGCAACCACCCCGTCCACCTGGGCCCCTCCGCTGCCGTCCCTGCTCCCTACACCCTCCAGGGGACCCTGGGGACTCAGGCTCAGCCCTGGACCCTTCCTGTCCCCGCCCCTTCCCCCACCTGCCCACAGCCCTGCCCTCCACCCCTCCTGGGCTCTGTGCCCCCTCCCCAGCCTGGCCCCTCTTAGATGTCACCCCGTCAGAGCACCCTGAGCCCATGTCCTCCTGGTACAGGGCCGCGTTCCCGGAGGTTCTCAGCACCCCAGACTCCTCCCCCCGCCAAGACCAGCACCTGAGCCCCTGTGTCCCTGCGTCCTGCCCACGCCCCCCGTCTCTCTCAGGAGCCCACGGCCCCTCGAGGGCGGGGACTAGGCTTGTTCCCCAGAGTCCCTGGTGCCTGGTACCACGCCTGGCACACAGTGGGCCCTCAGGTTGTGGGCTCAAAAAGCTCCACCTGATCCCCACCTCAGATGCGGGACCTTCACATACAGGGACACAGGGCACTCCCAGTGGGAGGGAACAGGTGACATCTGTAAACCGCCCTGCCCAGGCCACATGTGGCTGCGAAGGAGGCGCTACACAAGAGGCCGTGTGCTACCTAATGGTCTCAGGGTCCAGGGTAGCCTGCGCGGGGGCTCGCGGGCAGAGTGGCTGGAGCACAGGAGGCGAAGGAAACCGAGAGGCAGGGGGCACCTCCCCAACCCCCTCCTGTGCTTCACCGCAGGCCCAGCAGAGAGCCGCCTGGGAGGGCCCGCGGGTGGAGAGGGCAGGGGCGGCAGGACGTGGCGCTGACCAGCCTGACCCAAGAGGAGGTGGCTGCTGCCTTTGGCCTCCCCAAGCCCCGCACGATGGTACCTGGCCTGGCCCCGCCCCGCCCAGTCCCCAGTGACGCGGTCTCCCTGCTGCCACTCCAGGGATGAGACCCTTGGCCCCGGGGGTGCCCCTCCCTCCTCACCAGGGGACAGCAGGATGTCCAGCAGAGCTACGTGGGGCCCTGCTTCCTGCAGAGCCCACCTCTTAGGGCTGCAGGCCCATCCTGGACCCTCTGACCAAAGGGACATTCCCAACACTCAGGGCCCCAGGGAAATAGACCCCACTGCTCCCCTTGAAGCTGGTCCCGGCCACCTTCTGACTCTAGGGACAAGAGGTCACCAGCCTGACCCTGTCCCAGGTCTGGCTTACCAGGCACTGTATCTGTTCTCAACCCCAGGGCTGCTCGGAGTCCCAGAGAACCCCAATGTCCCCCTCCAGCCACCCTGCACATCCCAGCCACCACCTCTGTCCCAGGTGCTGTGCGGGCCTGTCCCACCCTGCTCTCCTCCCCACCCCCCACAAGTGGCCACGAGGACCTGACGCCCAGGGCAGAGTCCAGCCTCTGACACGCTGCCCCTGCAGGCTCCCGGGCCAAGTCCTCAAACCCAGGATGTAAAGAAAAGGCCCATGGAAGGGATTTTCCTCTCCCGGCGTCGCTCCAGCTCTAGGGTGACAGCAGATCCCCGAGTTATCCCCCGTGTTTGAGGCACTTGTCACGAGGTGATTCAAAGGCCCTGCACGCAGGGCGCGCTCCCGTCCTGCCTGCCACGAATCCCCCGTCGGGCAGCAGCCTGCCTCCAAATCACCCCCGTTAGGTCTAGTGACAGGCGGGCAGGGCATCAGTCTCCCCAGGGTGACAGGTGCTGGGAGAGGCCGGGGCGGGCGATGGCCTCATCTGGGCTCTGGATGGAGATGCAGCTGCCACCGCCCAGGGCAGGGAAGGGCAGCCGACCTGCCCTGGCCACGCGGGGTGGGGGGACTGGGGGCCTGGTGTCTGCAGGAGGAGCAGCTGGCCCCCTGAGGTGGCCCTTCGCCCCCCACCAGCTGTTCCTCAGTGGACTTCCTGAAGCAGATTTGGCACCCCCAGGTGGAGTCAGGGGCTGGGTGGGCCGGGACTGCAGGAAGCCCTCCCTCCCCAGGTGATTCTTGGGAGTGTTGGAGGCCCCAGGGGTGAACTGCCAGGAAGAGGGGGGGCTCGGGAGGAGGCTTCGGGCAGGTGGGCCTGGCCTGGGGTCCCGGGGAGGCCTGGGGTCCCCGTGAGGCTTGGGCTGGCCAGATGTCAACACCTTGGCTCCTGGGTCCCTGGTCATGGCTCCCCTCCCTCCCCGGGGCCGGGGGTTATTTTTAAATTAACTGAATAACAAAATTAAACAGATGTTCATGTAAACACATAAAAGAATGAAAAGGAAGCCCCCAGCCCCTCCCCCCGGGCAGCCTCCTTCCTCAGTCCCAGTCCCCGAGTCCCAGCAGCAGTGGCCTGGGACTCCAGGGCTCATTGGTTCCCATGCACAGCCCCCTCCCCTGCGCCAGCCTTCAGGTCTGGGGAGGGGACACCCCCCACAGGCTCCTTCTGCTTGGTGGTCCCTGGAGGTCAGGCCAGTGCTCACGGGGCTGGGGAAGAGTCTGGCTGGTGGCCCTCCCCACCCTGCCCCTGCCCCTCTGCAAGAGGAGGCCAGCAGGGCCCAGGGAGGTGGGCTGAGGACTGGGGAGAAGGAGCGACGGGGGCGTGGGCTGCGAGTGGATCGGAGTGACCCCCTCAGCCCCGAGGCCCCTGCCAGAGGCTGCTGCCCGGGCTCTGGCGCTCCGGGCCCCACTCAAACCCATGAACCTGTAATAATCCGCCGTCCAGCCTTGACTGGGGCCTGGCCAGCAGCCGGGCTCCTGCTCACCTTAAGCTCTGCAAGGCCTGGCCAGGACTCCGGGGTGACCCTGGGCTCACCCTGTCTCCACCCCTAGGCCCAGTGTCACACGGCCGGATGGCGGCTCCCCACAGCCCCTCTGTCCTAGACGGTCCACCCCAGGGCTGGCTCCAGGGAGCCGGAGGAGGACCGTCCACTTCCTGCTCCTCTGGGATGTGACTGAACCCCCTGCCCAGGGGCCCCAGGGTGAGGAGCTCCAGGCACCCTGCTCAGGACCCCCCCTCCTTCCTGGGACCCCTCCCTCCTGACCCCTCCCAGAGAGTCCCCCTGTGGACCCCTGCCTCAGGGCACCCCAGAGGAGCCAAAGCTCAGTCTGTGACTTGAGGGACTTCCAGGGGAGAGGGAGGCGGTCTAAGCTGATTCCCAGGAGGGGAGACAGTCTCGCCGGCTGCGACCGAGGGTCAGAGTGAGCTCCTTGGCGGGACCCTGGCCTCGTCTGTTTCAGCTAAAGACGTGTGCGCCAGGACCTGGCAAGCCCTGCTCGGCACTCACTCTAGAAACACTCATCTCCAGACAAGGACGGACGGACCTGAGTGCTCCCATCAGGAGTGAAAACTGATCTTGTCCACCAGGTCCCCAGAAGAGCTATGTGCACATTGTCACTCGAGATGGGCTGCTTAAAGGATACAGACCCACACCTAAAGCAGGGTTTGAAGGAGCTCCACGCTTTCATCCTGAAGAATTTACTTAGCACCCAATTTGTGTTAGGAGTGCTCACAGGGCCTGGCCCTTCATTGTGCTCAATAAGTGACTCTGAAACAGTGGCTACCCTGTAAGGTTGTGCAGGTCGTTCACTGCACAAAGGTATGCTCTCTAAAACCCACGCACTGGGTTGGTGAGTGAGGGCCTCTGCTCACTCTCCGGTCCATGTGGCTGGACTCAGAGGTAGGTTTGGGAGGGAGGTGGACTCCTTGGCCGAGTCTGAGCTTAGCCAGAGGGGCACGTCTCTCTGGTTACATAATGAGGGCCCACAGTGTGAGCAGCGGCAGTCCGGCTGGGTGCGAGGCTCACCTGGGTTTTCATGATGGCCTGGATGGCTGCTTCGAACTCCTCGGAGTTGTTGTAGTCCACGGTCCACACGTAGGGCTTGCCGATGAAGTTCTCTGCGTAGGGGTGCTGGGAGAACACCTGGCCGGCAGACAGGCGGCCCTCTGCGTCCCGCCCCTTTGCCCCGTCGCCCCCCCTCCCGGGAGCCCCCGCGCCCACTCACCTCCCTGGAGGTGGGCTTGCCGCGGAAGAACTCGTGGTTGAGGGAGCTGTGGGGCGGACGGAAGCGGGACTGCAGGAAGACGCAGCCGTTGGCGATGGCCTCCAGCGGGGCCGGGCCCTCGTAGGGGAAGCCGAAGCCTATGAAGAGCTGAGCGGCCCGGCACAGGTCAGGGAGGGCGGGAGCCCGGAGCCAGGCAGGGTGGGGGCCGGGCAGCAGGCACCCTCCCTCTGGGCAGGCCTGCTCTCCCCAGGGTGAGGCTGGGGGGTGCTGTGGTCTGTGACCCCGGAGGGGAAGGACAGCAAGGATCCCCAGCCCAAGAGGCTGCAGCTGACTTCCAAGGACCCCCCCACCCCTCACTCCTCCTAAACCCTGATCCTGCACCCAACATGCACAGGGCTGGCTCCCAGAAGGGGCTTGATCAGTGGTACTGGATCGGGGCTGCTGTGTGAGGTGGTTCAGGTCGTTCACTGCACAGAGAGATCCTTCCCTGTGGACCCGCAGAAGCAGCCCTCCAGCATGAACGACCCCAAGGAACTGCAGCCAGGGCCTCTCCCAGCCTGCCCCCCACCCACTCGGAGGCTCCAAAACACCTGCCTGGCTCCTGTCACCCACAGCCAGGCTGTGGCCCTGCCCAGGCCCCTTTCTGGCCCTGCCTGCTGGGCACCCATGTGTGCCCCGGGCTCTGGCCGCTCCCCCCGAGGACTGGACGCAGGGCTCAGGGCAGCAGAGCCCTGGCAGGTGTGGCGGAGGTGACCGCGGCTCTGTGGCGGGCTGGGCGAGGACGTGCGTGCGGGGGACTCACTTTGGCCTTGCGCAGCAGCTGCTGGAACTCAGGCTGCGGCAGGAGGCCGTGGTTCTTCACGAAGGCGGGGACCTCGGGGGGCCGCTGGCTCTCGTAGTACACGGTGCCGTGGACCTCCATGTACTTGTGCAGGATGCCTAGGAACTTCTCCTTCCCCTGAGGAAGAGGAGGCGAGGCGGCCTCACCCCGGGCTCCAAAGCAGCTGTGCAGCCCTGGGCCAGGCCCCGCTCCTCTCTGGTCCTTGGTTTTCATCAGTGACTCGGCAGCTTGGACCAGGCCAGAGGGTTCCGGGTTATTTTTAGCCACGGAGTGTTTCTTCCAAAGGAGGCCGACGGGGACCCACTGAGAGGGATCCAGGTGGGTCCCTTGGCCTCCTCGGTACCTCAGAGGACCCCGAGTGCCTGGGAGGAACTGGGTGCTCTCAGGAGCTCAGGTCACCCCCCACACCCACCCCTCATCCCTCCACCCACCACCCGTCTGTCCGTCTGCCCATCCATCCACCCTCCTCTCCTCAGGAATGATCTGGAAGGAAAGGTGGACCAGAGCTGGAGTCGCCCCTGCAGGCCACCCTGTTCTAGTCGCTGCCGTCACTGTCATCGACTGAGGTGATCTGGGACTTTAGGGCCACTGGCCACCAACCAAGAGTAAAGCAAAGCCCCTCTGGGAGGAAACAGCGTCACCCGTGACCTCAAGTCATGTCCCCTTCAGAACCCGAGAGGGAAGGAACAAGGCCGACTCCAAAACTCGTCGGAGACGCCAAGGACCTCGCGGACCAAGGTGAGCAGCCCTGTCACCTGAACCCAGAACCACGGCTCTGGGGCTTCTCGCCCACGTCCGTCCCCACAGCAGCAGACACCCACTGAGGAGCAGGGGGTGATGGAAGCCCGGAGGGAGGGGGAGCCTGAGAGCCACCGAGGGGCCTCGCAGGAAGGAAAGGCCGGAGAGAAAGCAATGGCCTCTGCTCTCACACAAGGGACTGCCCCTGGGGACCTGAACCAGGGCACTCGGAGGAGGGAAGAGAAGGCGGGAGGAAACCCTGGGGCTGTGGGGGCAGGGGAAGATTCCTGGCCACAGTACAAAGGCCCAACCCACAGGCCACACCTCGGCCTCAGTATGTTAAGAACCCTCGCTCCTTGAAGGATGCTGTTGAGAGAAACACGCACAGACCAGGAGAGAACATTTGCAAAGCATGAGCTTGACAGAGACCTTGGATCCAGAGACGTGAAGAACCACAACAGCTCAGCAGCAAGAAAATAAGCCAGACGTGCGCCACCTCGCGACTTGGGAGGCTGAGGCAGGAGGATCGCGAGTTCAAAGCCAGCCTCAGCAAAAACAACGCGCTAAACGACTCCGTGAGACCCTGTCTCTAAATAAAATTTAAAATACGCAATTGTTTTTGCATCAGGGATTAAACCCAGGGGCACTTAACCCCTGAGCCACGTCTCCAGCCCTTTTTATTTTTTATTTTGAGGCATGATCTCACCAAGTTGCTGAGGCTGGTTTTGAACCTATGATCCTCCGGCCTCAGCCTCCTGGTATTACAGCATGCCCAAGCAAAAATTTTAAAGATGCATGACTATAAAAGATACAAGGAAGATAAATACACAATATCTTCAACACCACCAGTCATTAGGGAAACGCAAATTAAAATTAAAAAAAAAAGTGCCATTCCACACCTGTTAGAAGGGCAGATGGCTAACATAAATTTGTAAAGGGAACTGAATGCTCACACATTGTCGGGAAGACTGTGACATGGTATGATTCCTTTTCTTTAGAAGTTTAACAGATTTCTACAATATGGCCCAATCGTTCTGATCCTACGTATTTACCCAAAAGAAATGAAAGTATGTATTTGTACAAAAATTTTTAAATGAACGTTCATAGCAGCTTTCTTTATAATACCACATATCAGAAATGACCCGAATGTCCATTAACAACTGAAGGAACAGACAGACTGTGGTATATCCATACAATGGAATACTACTGGGCAGTAAAAAGGATGAACGGTTGGTTCACACCAAAACATGGATGAATCGAGAGATCACTACTGAGAAGGTCCACACAAACCTGAGTACACACTGCATTATTCCACTTACATAAAACTTTAGAACATGCAAACTAACCCATGGTGACAAAAAGAAAGCCCCTGGTTGCCTGAAGATGGGGGAGGACAGATGGGAGGAAGGAGACTTTGGAGAGAGTCCCTATGCTGACTGCAGTGGTGGTTTCACAGGTAAATGTCTATGTTCAAACTCATAAAATCGTGAACCTTAAACATATTTAGTTTACTGTATGTTGATTATCCTGCAAGAAGATGGCTAAAAATATTTTTAACTAAAAAAATTCAATACCGTGATTTAAAAACGCCATCCAGGGCTGGTGTCCAGCTCAGGGGCACGACACCCACCTTGTGTGCCAGAGCCCTAGGTTAAGCCCCAGCAGCGCCCAGGGAATAAAGCACATGAAGGGACCAGACTGTGGCTACAGACCAAGGGCCACTGGGCAATCTAGGTCTGGAGTCCCCGGATGGCACTGGTAAGAATCGTCCCTATCACGCAGAACGGAGACAAATGAGAGGACCCAAGAGCTGGCACCCAGGGAGCACCCAGGGGTCCAAGGCCTGTCACCTTGTTGCCGCACACCCTGCACAGTGCCCCAGTCCTCAGTCAGAGCCCAGAATGAGGTGGGATGGGGCTGCTGGGGAAAAGCCACTTCTCAGTGTCCCGCCCAGGCATGGCCGTGGGACAGGGATCTAATGTCAGACAGGTGGGAAGAAGATGACCCCGAATGTTGCACCCTCTCCTTGCTCCTTCTCGCTGGCTGGAACACAGCTGTCGTGGCTGGAGTGTGTGCAGCCGTGTGGACCCACGTGGAAGAATGGGGTGAAGATGAAACCTGGGGGCCCACACAGGAAGGGGGGCCCAGGACTCCCGCCAGCCCAGCGTGACTACCTCCTGATTTTGTGACCAGGAAGGAAAGCCAGATTTCAGACTTGTCTGAATCACTGTGGTTGAGGTTTTCCTGTGACAGTGGGACCTACCCTCACGAGTGCAACCGTGGGAATCACTAAGAAAGATGGTGCAGCTGCGATCCGTGTCTCCACCGTCGGCAAGTTTACTATGAACCCAGACCTCAGGTTTATCCCAACCACCCTGTCCCTCCCAACCCTAGCGACCGTCCTGTGGCCATGCCAAGCCGGACTCTGACCAGTAGGGACCTGCTGTCCCCATCACCGTCCTCCCTACAGGAGCCACAGACCCTGAGTGCTGAGTCAGGGGACATCCCCGGGGGAGCCCACCGAGCCTGCTGGGAGCCAAGGGCATGCTGCAGAGGTTCCATACCTGGAGCTGCCTCGTCGCCAAGGGAAGCACAGGGAACAGAGAGAGAGCAGTTAGCGACCCACCAGCAGTGTCACCCCAGGCCACAGCTCTTCTCCCCACCCCAGTCCTGAAGAGGTGGCTCTAAAGTTCAAGCCCTCCTGCTGCGGCTCATCCCACAGAGTCCCAGCCTCAAGCCCCCTCGGGGCACACACTGTCCACGGCCTTCGGAGGAGGGGGCGGAGGATTTGGTGGCAGTCCTCTATGCAGTCCTCCTCTGAGTTACTGCAAACGATCAAGGCGGGGGCAGACAGTCGTCGTCAGCCTCGGGCATCTTTAAGTGTCAGGGACTTTTATTCCGGAACCATTACTGGGAGACATTTTCCACCAACCCGCGCCGGCGGTATGCAGGAGCCGGCAGCCGGGAAGGAGGGAACTGGTCAGGTACGGCCTGCACCGGAGGGACCCGGCCTGAGTCGGCAGGGCGTGGCCGGCACTGCTGGGGGCGTGGCTGGTGCCCGGGTGAGCGTGATTGGCACCGCAGAGGGCGGGGCCTGAGTCGGCAGGATGTGGCCCGTCTGCGTGGGCGTGGCCAGCAATGTTGGGGGCGTGGCTGTGCCCGGGTGAGCGTGATTGGCACCGCAGCGGGCGGGGCCTGAGTAACAGATTGGCCGGCACTGCTGGGGGCGTGGCCCGTCCGTGGGGGCGTGGCCGGTACTGCGCTCACCTTCCAGATACTCGCCTCCTTGCCGTATACCACGGCCATGTTGTTGGCCTTGCTGCCTTTGATGAGCTGCTTCTCCGTCTCGTTGAGTTCCTCGGACACGAAGCCCATGAAAGAGTTGTCCGGGGTGTGAGCTGCAGCCCGACCACGCGGAAGGGAAGGGGTTACCAAACAGCCGAGGGCGCACCCTGTCTCCCTGTCCCGCAGGTCCCCGTTTGGCAGGGTGGGGACGGTGTGGGAGGTGAGGGTCAGGTGGGAAGAGTGTCCCGCAGTGTTCCCGCCTGTCACAGCTCAGAGCAGGAAATCCAAAGGGTCGTCCAGCCCTGCACTGTTTTCAAGTGAGGAAACTGAGGCGCAGGGCCCACGTGCCCAGACTGTCTGCTGTCCTCTCAGCCCCTCGGCCCAGAGCTAAGGGTCCATCTCTCTTTGCACACCTCGTGTGTGATACCGCCTGCATCATCCCAGTTAGGATTGTCTCCATCTCCCCCATCCCTGCCACCTGGTCCAGGCCACCCTTGTCTCTTGCCTGGAACTGACAGCCTCCTGCGGGGTCTGCGGCTCTCTTAGCATGGACTTTCCTCCAGGGGTTCTAGTTAGCTTCTATCAGGGTCCTCCTCTGCATAAGACCCACAGGCCAAAGTCCTCCCAGCAATCTCCAGGCTGGGGACACCTCTTGGTCCCTGCCCCCACACCTGGGGCACTCCCTCTCCAGACAGTGGGTTCTCCAGTGGCCTCGCAGCCCATCCCCCATGGCTTTATGCCCTGTCACAACACTCCTCCACCAAAGTATTGCATCTTGATTACTGTCGGAATATAAGCCCCATGAGGGCTGCAGCTATTCCCTCACCTCTGTGTCCCTAGCACCTGGCACAGGGCCCGGCTGGGTGAAGGACAGAGTGGAGGACACATCTGCACATTCACACCCCCAGCATCTCCTCTGCTGTGCCCTCTGCCTGGACTGCCCGTCTCTCATTTCTTGAGAAATAAAATCCTATCCTGCATCAGGACCCCATTCACCTGTTACCTCCTCCCAGAAGCCCCTTTGGGGTCCACAGCCCTCCCATAGGGCCCACCCATGGGCCCTATGTGGCTGGGTCTCTGTTAAGGCACAGTCTACACTGGGACTTCCTCGTCAGTCCCAGGACCCCACGTCCCAGGGTCAGGAGAGCCATTTGCTCCCCTTCCACAGCCACACCTTGAGTGCCATGCCATCAGCTCTGTCTGTCCAGGAGGATGAGGGTCACACACCTGCAAGGCACAAGGCCTTGAATGAATGCCTGCTGAATCCAATTAAGTGCACTCTGTCCTCTCAGGTGGAGGCTGCTCTGGCAAGGGAGGTCAGGGGCAACTGCATATCCTCCATCTCCCAGAATGGCCTGGATCCCAAACACCCTATTTCTCCATTTAAGATGCACATTTTCCACATTTGAGCAGTTCTCAAATTGGGACGTCAGTGCTGATCAAACGTGTAGGCTGAGTGTGGCATTTCCATCTGCCCCCTCGAGGCCACAAAAAGCCGTGATCAATAACTGTGCGTCCCAGGGAGAGACGATGGTCTCCTGTGGAGGTGCTCCCAAAGCCCCCAGAGTCCTGCAAACCCCACACTATACGGGTGGGCCTCCCAGCCCATCTCTCGTCCAGACCTGCAGGAGCACAGCTCAGGCCCCAGGGCCTGGAGTTCTCCCTGTGAGTGGCCAGGGCAAGGACAGCTCTGCTGCCCAACCCAGGGAAGGGCCCCAGGGGGCAGGCAGCCTTCCCCGCAGCCTCCAGCTGGGGCTGCCCCCAGGCCACTCTCCCTCTGCAGTTTCCCCTGTTCTCCATGTCTGAAAAACCCGTAGCCCTCCCTTCCACCAACTCCACCAGAAGGGACAGGTTCCAAACGCAATTAGCCAAAGGAGCGGGGCAGGGGGGGTGGGGGGAGGCAGCCCCCTCCCACAAGGTGTGCTTCCTGCCTTGTGAATCCTAACTGGCAAGCTTCTCTCCTTTTCCTGCCCCTTCTTTCTTCAATTTAATCAGCTAACATTCTCCGAGGACCTGCGTGGGCTCCAGAGATGAACATAAATCAGGTAGTGGCCCTTGTTCAGTGGTTCCTGACCTACGGGGAAATCAGTGCCCACCACCTCACTGAGGCGCTCCACACAGACTCGCCCACAGTGAAGAGGGAGAGGCAGCGCTTTCTGCCTGGAACAGGAGAGCAGGGCATAGGGAGGGTGGCGGTCTGGAGAAGAGACTGGGACTTGGGGTTTTGCAAGATGAGTAGGAGTTTGTCAGGTCTGAAACGCACACCCTGCAGGATCTACCTGGGACAAGTCTTAGTTTCTCAGGGTAAGTCACCGCAGGGGACTCTTAACTCTTCTGCTTCCCCATCCTCTCCCATCGCCCCTTTGGCCAAATGCCAGGATAACATGCTTATATAAAATCTTTTCCCCTGACATGGCTCTAGCTCAGGAGCCTAGGGTGGTTCCCAAGTGCAAGCTGAAGGCCTTTCGCTAAAAGAAACTGCTCCTCTGTTCCCTGATCCCCCGGGTCATCTCTCCAGCCTCCTATCTGCTTCTTCCTTCCATGTGGGCTCTGACTCTGTAGCTCCTCGACATCCCCAGCCTGGGTCACCCCTTCCCTCCCCCACATTCTCCCTCCTTCCAGAAGTCTGTTCCCTGGGACCCATCCTACATAAATCACAGCGAGAAGCCTCCTGCAACCCGGAGACTGGCAGGGAGGAGGGATACTGGCAGGGAGGAGGGAGTCTGGCTCCCCGAGAGCTGTGTGACCTCATGCAGGCCGTTCGACCTCTCTGGGCCTCAGTTCCCTCACGGGGGACTCAACGGGTTTCAGGCACTTCCCACCCTCCCCCCTCCTGGGAACCAGGCAAGCCATTCCTTGTTTATTCAGAAGTCACATCTTCTGGGATCCGGCCTAGAAAATGGCAGAAAAGCTTCCAAGCACCAAGGAGACACCAGGAACTTGACCGCTAAAGAGAGACCGTACACTTCACTCCCAGCAAGCCCCCGGGACTCTGCCGTTAATCTAGGCTCAGTCCTCACAGGGTGCTTATCTGGCTTTCTGGCCCAGAGCTTTCAAAGAGCCACAAATTAGACGTGCAAGATGCTGCTGGAGGACAGACCGAGGACAGTCACAGTTAACGGTGACAGTAGACAGACCCTCAACCAGGGGCTCCACACACCTCGGCGTCCCCCAAGGGCAGGCCGCGCACCAGGGGACAGAACCCACCCGAGTTGCCGAGGAAAGGTTCAGTTTCAGGGTGTAGCATCCAACAGGGCAGTGGGTGTGTGTATTCCAGAGTCTCATTAAAAACACAGGGTGCTCAGCCCCCGCCTGCCCCTCGCCTGGCCGGCTCTGCAGGCGACCCCTCTAACAGCTAGCTCTAGGGGATCTGCCTCACCCATCTCGTCCCCTCTCAGGACCGCCCCACCTGGGTAAGAGAAGCTAAGGTGCTGTTGAGATTTGCAGGGACCCTGCCTGCCAGCTGCTGCAGTCCCCAGCCACTGCCCTGCACCTCTCAGGAACAGCGAGTGGGGACTTGCAGCAGATCACCCATAATGCAGCTGCCCCCTGGAGCACGGAGGACCCTCCAGAGCCACCTCGAAGGACCGCAAAGAGATCAACAAGGCCACAGGGGAACCAAGACTGCCCCCTCCCTGCCTCCACTGAAACCCAGAGCCCTTGTCCCCAAGACAGGGCTGAGATGTGGGGCCTAGGCTGCCCGCCCAGTACGGCCACCCTGGTTAAAGCTCCTCCTGCTTTGCAACAGGACCTTTGGGGCTTGGCTGGGACCCCAGAGTCTTGGTTAACTTGGCCCAGGACTCGGGTATGGCCCTGTGCTTGGGAAAGCTGGCCTGCTCCCTCGCCACCCATCATCATTGTCCAGTCCACTCTCCAAGTGTCCCTGGAAGGCCACCAAACCCCTGGCCCTGCACTGTGTGCGCAGTGCCCTCCTGGCCTTGGGTGGGTCACCCGCAGGCTGCTCCCTCCCTGATCCCTGCCCCCAGGGAGGCTCCTCTGCCTCACACACTGACCACCGGGAGCTGGGAGCACGTGTCACCCCATCCCTGCGCCTGTGCCTGCGCCAGGACTAAAGAGAGCCTGCCTCCTCCGCGCCCCCCCCACCTCGAGCTCCGCCCCGCCCCCGGCCCCGCCCCCGGCACTCACGGAACATGGTCATGAACTGCTTGGGGTTGAGGTTCCAGTAGCCCCAGTTGGTGCGGTAGCCGTGCAGCGTGGCGTACTCCTCGTGGTTGTACGCGGGCTCTGTTCCAAAGGTGTCGATGACCCGGATTCGGCACCTGGCCCCCAGGGATCAGGAACAAGGGTCATGCTTCTCTGTGTGTCCCTGGGCTGGGGCTGCCCCAGCCACGAGCCCTGTAACTGGCCAGTGGCTGGGTCAGGGAAGTGCCAGGAGTGGGAGAGCTTGGCCTCCCTGTGTGACCACAGCAAGTGCCTTAACCTCTCCGTGTCACCTTCCAGTCAAGTGGGATCACAACAGCCCAATCGTCCTGGCCCCCTGGTCCCTAGTTAGTGTCCAGAAACTGTTACGACTGCTGCCCAGGAGCAGCTACTTAGAGGGGGGGTCCCTCCCTGCTCTCCCCAGGGGCCCACCTATAACATTTGCACTTTTCTGGCTGGGGGTCCTGTGGGGACCGTGTTGGGGGTCAGTGCCCCAGAGCCTGACTACCTGGGCAGGGGCTGGGTGGTAGGACTGCCTGCCCTCCTCCCTTGCTGCCCTTGGGGGGAAGGCTCCGAGCCCAGGGGGCTTTGCCTCTGTGGGATCAGCCAGCCCCGGGCTCTGAGGCCGCAGAACATCCCTGCCCCCCGCCTGCAAGTGGGCCCTGAGGTAAGGCAGGGCCTCCGCCTCCCAGGACGCTGCCCCGCCCCAGCGACCTTCCAGTAACCCGGAGTCAGGCGCCCAGTGCTGAGGCTGGCAGATCAGGGGCGGAGGAGGGCGGGAGGGGGGCGCTGCGTGCCTAGAGAACGCGCATTAATAATAAAAGCAATAACACTGCCTGTCATTTTTTTTCCTTAATAAAATCATGTGGGATAGGCAGTGGGACTGGAGCAAACGTAATAAATAGCAGGGCTCTCTGTGCTAAATGAAACCCGCATCCCGCTGGCTGCTGGAAGACAGGGAGCGATGGCACGGGCCTTGCTCCCGACCCAGGGGGTGCAGAGAGAGGAGAGTAGTGCGGGAACGTGGCCCACCTGGGGCACAACAGAGGCCACGCCCCAACCCCCTGCACAGCAGAGGCCACTCCCCCAGTCCTGCACAGCAGAAGCCACGCCCCCAGTCCTCCACAGCAGGGGCCACGCCCCCAGTCCTGCACAGCAGAGGCCACGCCCCCATCCTGCACAGCAGAGGCCACGCCTCCAGTCCTGCACAGCAGAGGCCACGCCTCCACTGGGGCATCCAGTTCCTTTCCACCACTCCCTGCCCCCTCTATCCAGGAGACCCCAGCCACATGCAGCCCAGGGACCACGGAGGACTCTCCACTGTCCTTGGTTTGGTCATCCTCCTCCTCAAGGGGCAGAGCTCCTGTGAGATGGGAGCAGCAGGAATGGGAAGGGCAGAGGCTGGGAGAACAGTGCCTGGGCAGCTGGCTGTCCGGCAGGGTGTGGGGAGCAGCTTTCTCCTTTGTCTACAGACACCGGCGTCCCCACCGCCATCACCAGGCCCTCTTACCGGTACTTCCTGAAGGAGAGTCCCATGTGCTGCTTCATCTGCTGAAGGCCGTGGTAGTCGGTGTAGATGAGGTCGAAAGGCAGGGGCATGGTGAGCGGGCAGTTCCCCCGGCCTGGCGGTACCCCTAAGTTACTGAGAGAAGAGCCCTTGAGAGTCTGAGCTTCAAGAAACTCACCTTTTCTATCAGATCTGTGCCTGGAGGGGCCTCCAGCCCACCCAGTTCCTAGAGCCCAGGGTGAAAAAGGAGAGAGGTGTAAAAAGGCAGTGAGGTTAGTGCAGACTCTTGGACAGGAATTGATGGATGACTGTGAACAGTTGTGCAGGTATATCACTGCACAAGGGAGTCCAGCCAGGGGCAAGGGGCATTGAGATCTAGCCCAGGCTACCTTGCCAAACTATATACCTGGCCAGGGCTACCTGCTCCTCCTGCAGGGCTGTGACTGCCCAGAGAGGGACACTAATTCACATAGTGCCAGAAGCACTGGCTACGGTCCCTCGCATGTTTGTAGTGTGTGTTTGGAGCCAAGGGTCCCAGACCTCCTGCTTCAGTACAGTCCTGCTCTGCTGACCGGGCTGCTGGCTCTCCAGGGCAGTTCCTGGCTCTCCTGGCCTCTAGGGACCTGCTGCCCACGGGCCCAGAGTCCTCTGAGGCTGGGAGCTGCCTGTGGCCTACCAGGCCACTCAGACGCAGTCTTCATCTGGGACAGCGCTGCCTCTGGTGGCTGAGCAGCTGCCGCTTGGCCAGACTGGGGGGGGGTCCCTCTGCTAGAGCCTTGGGGTCACCCCATCTCACCCGGCCTGGAGGACATGGCTGTAGCCCTGTGGCTTCCTCTAGAGTCACTGTCTTCTCAGCCACCTCACAGCAGCAGGGCACCAAGCCCACGTAAGCCCCTCTGCCCTCCCTCGGGAGCCCCAAGCCGACTCCTCCCTGTCTCTCCCCTGCGGGCATGAGGTCACTGTCTGCGACACACATTCCGTGGGTGTGTACTGGCCCCTGAGCCAGGGAGCAGGTCACCTGCTGCAGGGCCCCTCCACCTTCTCCTACCACCAGGCCAGAGGAGGCAGCCCAGGGCCTTGGAACCAGGGCCAGCTCCCGAGATGTCCCTCCCTGTGGTCCTCCCGTCCATCACATTGAGCAAACATTTCCTGAATGCATGTGGCTGCCGGGCCCTGCGCCCCACGGAGACGCACAGCACAAGTCCTGGAGCACAGAGCCACAGGAGGGGTGTGGCCTGGGGGTGTGGCCTGGGGGTGTGGCCTGGGGTGTGGTATGGGGTGTGGCCTGGGGTATGGCCTGGGGTGTGACCTGTGGGTGTGGCCTGGGCTGTGTGGCCTGGGCTGTGTGGCCTGGCGCGGGCAGGAGCCAGCCAGCCAGGTGCTGGACGCTCAGGGAAGGGCAGGGAAATGAGGAAGGGCCTCCCTGAGAGAACTGCGGGTAGAGCCTCCTCTTCCTCCCAGCAGCTCCCGGAGGGCAGAGAGGCCTCCTAGGGCTGGACGTGCCCAGCCTCTGCCTCTGACCAGGCCACTGTGCCTCCCAGGGCTGCCCACCTCCCTCGGATCTGGTTCAGACGCTGCTGCTGGGAGAGGTCCTGGAGGCCCTGCTTCAGGGGTCCACCCTGCAGTGACCTCAGGCCAGGGAGGAGACGCGCCTGGACAGGGCACCATGGATCAGGTCCAGGGGCTACATCTCTGGCTCCCCGACACTGGCCAGTGGGAAAGTCCCCGCCTAGAAGGCTCTGCGCTGTCCGCAGGCGCTCAGCACATGGAGGGTAAAGGCTGGGTGGGGCGGGGGCTGGCGGGCAGGTCCCCTGAGCACACCGTCCAAAGTGGTGCCATTTTGATGATGTTATGGTCACCTCTCGACGAGGCCGTGACAGAAAGACCTGGGGGAGCTGGCCACCATGGAGATCCAGGCATAGGGGCCTGCGCCCTGCAGAGACGGGGTCGGGGCAAGACAGTGGGAGGCCCCCCTGTGCCCCCACCAGCCAGAGCACCCCACCTGGCCGAGGCACCCCCACCCGGACAGAAGCTTTGCTGCTAACGTGGACAGAGGACAGAGACATCCTCCAGCCTCTCCCCGTCCCTATCTGTGAACCTCAAAGGCCTGGTCCCTCCTCCCCCCTCCCCCGGGGCCCTCTCTAACCCACCAGGAGCCTGGCCAGGGCTTCCAGGCCCCAAACACCCGGGAAGGGGCTCCCACCACCCAGAGGCCACCCAGAGACCTCGTGAGATGTCTGGTGGCCCTTCAGTTCTCCCCCAGCGGGGCTCTGGCTCCTTACGCCAAAAGTCCCCCCAAACTCCAGCTGGTCACCGGTGTGTCCCTGTCCCTTCTTCCTCACTCCCCCACCCAACTGAGAGCCGCGGAGGAAGGGCCACGGTGATTCCCCGCCGTCCCTTACAGAAGGGAGGAAGGGCACCGCTGCTCCTGAGCCTCGGGACCTGAGTCCAGGGAGAAAGGCCACAAAGGTGGGAGCAAATCCCCGGGAGACTCTGTGCTGCTGTCTACGCCTCCTGCCGTCGTCCCTGTCACCTTCCTGGCTGCATTCCCCATGCTTTCAATGCCATCCGTCGACTCATTTCATCTCAGCAGCTACCCTAGAGATCAGACCCTTCCACGTTCTATTCCCCTTTGCAGAGCAGGAAACAGAGAGGTTTAGCAATTTCCCCAGATTGCACAGGCTGGAAGGAGTGGAGGGGGGGTGGGAGCCAGGCAGTCAGATTCCAGGGTCCACACTGCCACCCGCTGAGCTCCGCCAACCCCAGGCCCCTAGATGGCAGACTGCACAATGGAGGATCAGCGGACCCCAGGGAGTCCTGGGCCACCAGCAGAGACGAGGCTCCAGTCCCAGTTTTGCTGCTGCCCTGGGTGAGTCACAGGCCTCGAGGAGCCTCATTTTCTCACTGGCAAAAGACCGACAAAATGAGCCGAGATGGGCCCCTGGGTCGTGAGACAGTGAGTGACAGCTCCGCCGCCGAGAGCACTTGGAGGCGACATCTCCTTCGAGAACACCGAGTCCCGTGAGTCTTCTCTGAGAGCAGCCCCCACGCCTCATTCAGGCCTGGCCCTCTCTCCCCAGGCACCTGTGACGGTGTCCCCTGCCTGTCCCCGTCCATCGCGGCCTTTCTAGAGCTCTCTGCAGTGGGAACCGGCACGTCTCCCCAGGGCTCTGGCCTTCCCGGGCTCCCACTGCCCCTGGGCCACACCCCAGCTTTCTCCCCACCCTGCCAGAGCTCCAGCCCTGTCCCCAGGGGCTGTGGTGGCCTCTGCTGGCGGCACAGGACGCCCTGTGGGTGCAGTGGGGTGGGCAGGGAGCCCTCCTCTGCAGGGCGCTGGAGCAGCGAGGCCCCGCCCCAAGGGGCACTGGAGCCAGAGCCCAGGGCCTCCCGGGTGCCGCTGCCCAGCGTGGAGAGGGTCCTGACAAAGCCAGGGACAGGGAGAGACGCCGGGCAAGACACCCTCAGGGAGCTCTCACTTCCTGCTCCTGTCGCGCAGGAGACAGGCGCAGCAGGACCTCGGTCACTGTCACCCCGCGGCCCTCTGCTCCTGCAGTTCCCGTGGGCCAGCGCCTCCCTGACAGAGACTTCCCTCAGCCTAGAAGCTTCTTCTCTCTCCCGTTCCTGACTCACACATGGCCTCCTCTTCCAGGAAGCCTTCCTGAGCCATAGGCACCCCACTTCTGCACCCTAGGCCTGGTCACCCCCCGGGGATTGTCCTGAGCCGCCGCCTTCCTGCTGAGGGCAGGACCAGGTCATCCTCAAATCCAGGGCTGGGGACGGGATCTGGCCCAGTAAATACCTTCTGTGTTCACGGGGAAGGAACTGTCCCAGAGGCCGGGGGAGGAGCCCAGGTGAGGCTGTCGACCTGGGTGTGACCCGGCGTGACCCGGGCGTCCTGTCACTCTGCATGCTCCACACTGGACTTGGGGCCTCCGTGACCCCAGAGCCCGTGGCAGCAGGAAGAAGAGACAACAGAGTCCCCTTCCCAGGTGTCCATGGAAGCCCGGGTCTCCTGGCCCTGGAGGACGAGGGCTTTCAATCTAAGGTGACTTCGCTGAAGAAGTGCCTGCAGAACCTCATTGCTCTTGTCACAAGGAATCTGCGCTTCGCCCATGGAGAGCCGAGAGGGTCAGAGCAGGCTGTGGGCTTATCGCTGTAATTCACGCTCACTTTTATGGCAATTTTACACTAAGTGCTTGGCTGGAGCAACAGCAGGAATTGAAAAGCACCGTCCCCGACAACCTCCAGCCCGGGGCCTGGGGAGGCCCAGCCGGCCAGTGCTGCCTGCAGGACCCTGTCGGGCGCCTCTGCACTTCCAGGGCCATGTCCAGGGGAGGGCCTCTGAGCCCCCAAGCGCCTGGGCAGCGGAGCAGGGCAGGGTATCCCTAGGAAGAGGCTTTAACACACCCACTGCCACCAGGAGGCGCATTCACAGGGGCCAACAGGGGCGAGGGGGTGGGGTACAGGGGTCAGCACAAGGCGTCTCTCTACGTCCTGGGGACTGGGGGAGGGGCAGCCCCAGGAAATGGAGACTTTTACAGCCACCTGGCTCTTGTCTGGCCCCTGTGCCCAACCCAGACTAGCCTACCTACAAAAGCCCAGGGTCTTGGTGGGGGACAGGGCCATGACATTTAATGCGTACCGAGTCTCGTCTTGCCAGGAGAGATCTGGATGGCGTGATGGCCACAGGACACTGAATGTGCTTATAGCCACTGAGCCATGCACCAAAAATGGCTAAGATGGTGGATTTTACAGGACGAGTGCTTCACTATAATGAAGAGAGAAAGGCTGCCCCGCCCACGTCCCTGGCTCCTGTGCCCAGCACTCCATGTCCAGAGGTACTGAGGTCCCCCCACCTGCCCGGGGTGCCCAGCTGGCCAGGCATGACACAGGGCTTCAGCAAATACCCAGAGCAGGATTGACTCAGGAGCTTTCTGCTAAAGGATCAAACAGTTGGTTGGAAATGGGAGGAGGGGGGAACAGAGAGCCTGGGGGGGGGCGGGGCCAGGAATCCACAGGCTGAGTTCTGATGCAGCGGGAAGGGCCCCCCTGGAGCTCCCCCGTGGACCTGCTGGTGGCCTTGCCTGGACACGAGTCCTCGGGTGTCCGCCTCCACTTCTATGACATGTTGCTCAGACAAACCTCCCCGGTCTCTTCTAAGCTAAAAATTCTCTGGCTTTCTCTCTCTCTGTGCCTTTGGTCTAGGGTAGAAATAATCTCTCCAGGTAGCGCTCAAAGTCGGGAACAAAACATTCCCTCTCTCTCTCTCTCCCTCTCTCTCTCTCTCTTCCTCTCTCTGTGTGGGAAGGACCTAATTAAAACGAATTCCTACAAAGCGCTCCGAGATCTTTGGTGCCAGTGCTAAAGCGCACACAGGGATCCTCAGCTTCTCTGGACGCATCTGCTTTCTGGGAAGGCACGGCAGGGACGGCCCGGGACGTTTCTGTCTCCCCAGGCACCTGCTGGCCCTCTGAGCCCATCCAGTGCCCACCTCCCTCCTGAGCATCGTGGGCACTGCCTCCCTCGCGTGGCCCCACTCCCCTCCCCGCGAGCACCAGGGGCAGAAGGAGCCAGAGATTTAACTGGGCACCTAATGAGCTGCCTCGGGACGTAGAGGTTAGGACCGCTAATGAGGAAGGAATGACATTCTCCCACGGGTTTTCTTCTCCTGCTCAGGAAGGGCTGACCCTCCCCTGCCCGACAGGAGATTCCTGCTGCCATCAAGATGGGCCCACCCTTGGCTCCCTCTGCTCCTGCAAAGGCAGTGTCCTTGGACACCCCCACAAGCCCCAGTGCCTCAGAGGGTCCTGCC